TTTTTTTTTTACTTTTCTGCAGGGGTTAGAATATTTATTCAAAAGGCCTTGAGATGCTCCTCTCATTTGTAGGAGTCCGTGATTGCCGTGGTCTAATATGGGAAGCTACATTTGGAAAATTGCAAACAAAAAAATTTTTCCTTTCAGTGTTGGTTCTTATGTAAATTAATTGAGTACTTGCTTGTGTTGCCTAATGGGTTGAAAGACCAGTCCAGTTTTCTTTACTGGGTGCTGGCAGTGTGGGCAAACAATCTTTGTGTGTGATTCTGTGACATTAGCAAAGGCAAAAGATGGTAGTCTACTTCTATGCTGTTTGGAAGCTGTATTTTCCAGTTCCAAAGCAACAGGAGAATAAAACATTGATCAGTTTCTTTTGTACCAAGAGGCTTAGGAATCAGGTTATAAAGGTCAACACCTTTCAGGCTGGGACTGTCAGGACTCCTCTGTGCAGTTGCAGTGCCAGTTAGGCCATGACTTTAAGCTCTGCACAAGTGTCTTAATACTTTGTAAGACCATGGTGTTTTAGACTGTTCAGCAGAGGCATTAAAGTATTCTCACTTCTTATACTTGGAATGATTCCTGCAATGGCAGAGCCTGTTATTTAAAAAACAAATCTTCTAGAGAGTGGGAACTTATGTAGTTCCTATTTGTCTTATTTGTGGAAATACTGAGCAAAACTAAATTTTGAAAATCTTGGAAAAATAATAATGCAGCATAACCTTCTTTTTCCTGTGTAGTGCATAATTTCTCTGAACTAGTTTTATGTGTAATTTAATAATATTCCATATATATTGGTGTTCACTGCAACAGGTATTCTATATTGCCTTTTTAGTAATAATGATAAATTTGCATTTTTATAAATGCCCTTGTTCTGTCCATGAGATTTCTGTAGCAATAATGTGATTTGCCTAATGACCATTAGTTCTGTAATCTTTGTACTTAGAGAGCCTCACTGGTACATGAAGAAGGACTGTCAGGTAAAATGCTATTCACTGACTAAAGCAGTTTGATTTCAAACAGATCACCTTGTTTCAAAGGGAGTCATGCACATCTGAGTCCTTCCACACAGCAGTTTATGGCTCTCCTTTGACTCTGTGGAAGGACACTGGTCAAGAGAGAAGTGACCTCTGGATATGAAAGACTCTGTGAGGTTGAGCAGTTAGGTGGTATTATTTAACATCTTGTATATTCTTCATGCCACTTTAAGCATCTGCTTTTGTAAACAATGATAGGTGTGTGAAAATTCTAATTCAGGGAAGCCTTGGTCATGAGAATAGAAAATAAGTAAAAATCTGAGTTTCTTAAAGAGTTCTCTTCTCATAGATTTTTTTTTTCCTAAATTAGCTGTATGAATGTCTGATTTCTACAAACCATAGGATTTGAACTGTCTCAGATTGCTGATTAGATTATCATAACTACTATAGGTATTCTGTGAAAGTAATTCTTTTCACAGTAAGTATTCGCTTTAAGATGTTGAACAGCAAGCTCACTTTTCTTTGGCCATCCATATAATAGTTTCTACTGTTTAGGAAACAACTTTGAATTGCATTTATGTTTCAGGAGAACACTATTTTGCTTTTGGGAGCTGGAGCTTTAGCATGGACATAGCATAAGCAGAAAAATTTGCACATGAAGAAAAATTTATATGGGGAAAAGTCTTATTTACAGTAAAAGCAATAATGTGCCAGCTATTAAATGGCATTTCAAAGTGGATTTGTCTTCCAGACTTCGCAAATACCATTGCACTTTTAAAATTGCAGGAGATAGTTGTATTTGTTATATTCTGTTACAAATCTTGGTGGCCACTACTGTTCCAATACCTTCTCAGTTTCTTACTTGAAAAATCATCAGCCATGTTAGTGTGTTTGTGTGCTACCATTGAAAGATATTGTTATGACCTGTATTAATATCTGTAGAATACTCAAGAGCAGTTGTGTTAAAATGTTTTTACAAGACTTGCCACTTCAGAAAGTAAGCAGTGGGCATTAAATATCTGAAGGTGAAGTTGTGAATGGGATTCTACCAGCTGTTTTTCTGTCATGCAGTTGTGTCCCTACTGCAGTCCTGGTGCATACAGCAGTTGGCTTCAGCTCAAGGCCCTCATTCTGTAATGGAGAGATGGTTGCTATATGAGAACAAAGTTTCAAAGTCCTGTGTAAAGCTGGGTATTTGAATTATTTGTTATAGTTAGATAGGTGATAAGGGGAAGAAAAGACGGAAACCTGTGCCCTTTTACTACAGGTAAGGAGAAATAACCTTGGGCAAGGTCAAAATAAGGAGACTGGAATGGTGTCTTTGCATAATACAATCAGCGTTGTGTATCTTTATATTTCATGTTCTATAAATCATTTTATGATGAAAAGAAAAATGTTCTTTAGATAAAAGTACTTTTAAAAACTTGTTGGTTTTTTTTTTTTGCTACTGTGAGATAGCTGTTGGTGTTTTATAATTACACTTACTGTGTAGATAAGAGTATTGTAACTTTATCTTAATTGCTTATTCTTAGTTTTTGTCCTTCTACTAATCAGCAACTCTGTCTCCAGGTATGTACTATGAAAGACTGTGAAAACCAAAGTCCAGGTTATACTTTGTTCAACCTTACAATTTTGCATTTTTGGCCTGCCATTTTTCTTACCAATTTTAAGAAATCTGTCAATCTTCACTCTAGTGTAATTGCTGAAACTATTCTTAATGCGTTCTCTGCTATGTTTTATTTAAAGCTTTTATGTTAAGTATGTTAAGTTATTCAAACAAAGCTAGGAATGCCATGGTTGCTGGAGGATCAGGAAGTGAACGCAGTCCTCAAGACTTCTGAGACACTTCTCATGAGAGAGTTTCCTCTCTGGCAGAAACACAGCCAGACTGCAGTTTATTAGCCTGTGTTGTTGCTGCATGGCTGTACCATTTCAGTCCTGTTTTTGACCAGGAGGTTGCTTGGCAGCCTGTGTTTTGCAGAAAAACTGACTTACATAGTCAGGCTTGGTCCCTGTGCTTCCCAGTATTAGAGAGATTGACAGAAATGTCTTTGGTCAGCAGAATACAGACCTGTCTCTCTAGTGTCTTGAACTTGGTTTCAAGTTTCAAGCTGCAAAGCCTGTAGCATGATAGGAACATGGATGTATATGGAATTAGTGTTGAAGGCCTTATGAAATAGTTTCAATTTCACAAAGTATTCTGTAACTACAGACACTTTATTTAATCTATGCAGCAGTTCCTCATCTCTTAACAGTGATTAGTGCTTCTCTTAGTTTTGAGTCAACCCAATAATTGATTGTGTTCTTATTATTTCAATGCAAATTGGTAGTGGGTTCCAGGGTTTGTTTACCAGAGGTCCTCAAAACACCCTGTGGTGTCGGCTTTGCCATTGAGCATCTTCTTCCTCAAACACATATCATTCTATTTCTCATACTGTAGATTTTTAAAGTTTAGATTTCTGACGAAGATCTGATTCCTGTGTCCTCTAATTTAGAGTGTACAAGTAAAAGATGTAAAATACTGGTGGAAACCAGCACTCAGTTTTCATTTATGATTCTGAAATTAGTTGTTTTGAATTTAAACTGATATTAGTATAAAGTGAAGACTCAGAAGTGTGGGGAAGACTGGATCTAGACAGAGCCTGAATTGAACCCTATATTTGGTGATGGAGGGAAAATGTGTTCTGGTTTTGTAGGATGGGGTAGTTTGGGGTGCTGTAGATTTTTATGCAGTGTGTCAGTAAACCTACATGTAGAATCCAGGCAAACACATCTAAACATATCCAGCCAAAAAGGTAGAGTTGGCAAAAAGTTGTGCTGTGCATGTAGCATGTTATTTTGACTCACTGTGTCATCTAGTGTGTTTTTGTGACTAGTGTTCTTGGTAGATTGCAGGAAGATTAATGCAGTGGATTTTTAAATAATTTCTTGTGGCAGCTTTTCTCCATTAGTATATTATTTGTGATTGATTACTAACCTTCAGGAATCGAGAAAAATGCCCACATATGGCATGTATATGTATATATATATGTATATACATTTTAAATTGCTTAAAGTTAGAAAAATACCAGAAGGATATTAGTATATTTCCTCCACAAAGTTATAATTAAGTATAGAGATATCATTGGGGTTTTATGTTTGGTTGGTTTTTTTTTTTTTTTTAAGTGGCTTAAAACTTGCTAGATTATTTTTATTTGTACAAAGAAAGGTTTGTAGATTTTTTTTTAATCAAATACATCAGTAACTTTATGTGAATGAGCACTATAAATTTCTGCTAGAGACGGGTATGCAGGGTGCAGAAAGACATTTAGTGGCTAAGATAAATTGTTCCTAATGGGTTCTGTTCCAACGTGCAGCCTTTGTTTGAGTAAGGAAATTAGTTTCTGTTAGTAAACTTTTAAATAATCTCTTGAATTGTGAGTATTTTAACTCAACTAGTGGAGCTGCTGCCTTATATAGAAATGCCTCATTTTGCATCTTTTTCCCTTCTCTTGCCTTGAGTTAAGGCAATTTATTTCCCTTACAGATAGGAAGCTCTAGGAGTAAATAAAGAGACATACTGGCATCTGATTAGGCTGTGCTTCTAATAAATATATTATTCTAGAGAAATATTAATTAAATAAGTTCACCCTAAGAGAGTGAATTCTGAGAATAATGGCTCAGTAGAGAGGCTAAATGAAGGGACAGTAATTTCCTATATTGGGTGGAAGTGGTTATAGGGCTTAGTGTGAGGTGGTCAGAAGAAACATTTGATTTTAAAATGGTTCATTTTGTACTCAAAGAATATATACTTCCTTAGCAATTTAGTAATATAAGTATAGCATATATATATGCATATACCATGCATGCAGCTGGTAACACTTTCATTAGGACTGCACTTCCCTTAGCTAGGGAGCTGGTGGGAGCTGGTTTGAGTAATCTCTGTGCAGAAATATGCATAATCCTGATGTCAGTGAACTAGAACATAACCAAAATTGAGATTTTATTTTTTGAGGTACCTCAAGGAGTTGATGGCACCAAAGTGTAGAAGCGGAGAAATTCCAAGGAGGGAGAAGGTGAAGGGACTCTTGCGTACCAGAGAAACTTGATGGTATCTGATGGCCTCCAAATGTGTTACTTCAAAGTATAAAAAAGTAGCACTTCCTTTTATTGATTCATGGCACTTTTTTATGAGTCATATGGTAACATATTGAAAGTGTTTATAAATGCTTAAAGGATTATTTGTGCTCTCTCTCCCTCCATCGTATTGAATTATGGATAATAATGTATATCCAAAAACATTTAATCTACCTATGTTTTTTAATGTAAGCAGCATCTGCACAATTTGTGTTTTACTAATGGAGAAAGCATTGAAGGGAGAAAATAATGTATGCACTTTCCTTAGTGCATTATTTAGGATGAAAGATTATACTGCTGATAGGGAGGGGGAAGGTTGATGTAGAGCTGTAGGTTAACAGCTCATGGCATAGCAGGTATTGATTAGCTGGGATTTGGCTTATGTGACCATGGGACTCTCTCTTGAGGTGCAAGGACTGCTAAGATGGAACAGTATCCACCCGACCAAGAGGGACAAGAGCATCTTTGCCAGTAGTCTGGCCAAACTAGTGTTTAGACTAGGACTTAGAGAGGAAGGAGGTGATGACCCTCAAATCAAGAGGAAAAGGTGATGGACTGAGCTGGTAAAGTACGGATGAGGACCACATGGGGAGGAGTCCTTGAAAATGACTAATCAGAGAAGATAGAAACCCACACATGTCGGTAAACAAAGAGGAAATATCTGTACATATATAATGAGGCCAGCATTATGAGGGAGAGGATCTTGGATCTCTTCAGGGAGATTAGCTGTGGTGACCTGAGAATGCCTTTTCCCTTTGATGCAGTTTTGTAAGTGATTGTAACAAGTTTCAGAGAATTTGTTTTTAACTGCTTCAGTATTCTGCCTCCTCTCACTCCCCCCATTCCTTCTCACTGTATCATGGCTGCTATGCAGACTGTTACAAATTGTTTTTAAAGATACTTCACTTTTCTAAAACACATACTGACTTATTATTAACTTCTCTACAGGGTGTGATAGGTGTACAGTTGGTGGTTACCATGGTAATGGCTAGTGTCATACAGAAGATCATACCTCACTATTCTCTTGCTCGTTGGCTTCTCTGTAGTGGCAGGTAAGATAAGTGTGAATATGGTAATGCAATTATGCATCAGAATAGTAACAGTAAAATATACTGATTTTGTTTGGGGTTTTTTAAAGTAACTGACTTTTATTAAATTTATTACCATAGCATTGTTACACCTGATTTCTGGGCTCAAGGCAAAATAACAGTGTTGCTGTAAAAGAACATGCTTGTTTGTTGCTGTTAATTGTATCAGTCATAAAGTTAATTGTAGTTCAGCTCTTATATTGAAGGTACAAGGTGCATCCTTTAATATTAAGAAGCTAAATTGAATACAATATACTGAAGAATAAAAGGGTTTTCTTTTCTTCTGTGCTGTCTCTGTGTTGTTGATAATCTACTTCCTGATTAGCCTTGCATATGAAGAGTGCTTAGATATTTATTAAAAATTCTATTCCTTTTTAATACGTCAAATGACAAGATTAGTATAAGTTTCAGTACAGTACTTCCTTGTATCAATAGATCAAACAGACATAATGAGTTGCAAGGGGAGCATTCCCTTTGTGGCTGTATCCATAATAACAAAGAAAAACAACAGCTGTTTTGAATATATATCAGTATGTTAAATATTAAAAGAAATCACAGATACTGTGTTTTTTCATTTGGTAAGAAGACCACTTTGTATGATTCGCAGGTAGTGTGCTGTCTTTTGTAACTGTTAAATTTTGAGAATAATCTGAAGGAGTATCCTTGAATAATAATAATGTACTCCAAAGGAGTATTAACAAATCTTTACATTGACTTTTTTGTCTGCTTCTCATAATTATCACCTTGTTCCTTTTTAATATTCCAGATTTCATCACCCATCAAGTTGCTAATGAATAGTGACTATAAATGTTGTTTAGATGTATGTTAGATATAACAGAAAACAGTAATTGTCAGGTGGATAACACAAACAGGAGTTATCCTCTTAACTGTTGTGTGAAGTTTCACTGTTAAGCATATTGACAGGGTGTCGATCACCTTGCTTGTGATCTAAAAAGAACATGACACTGATGAATATGAAACTGCCTACTAAGGTGTGTCGCTATGAGAGTCTTTTTTATCTGCAATAATCCAAATTACATATTGTACCTTTTATATCTAAGATTGATGAAAACTTTTATTTGAAAATCTAAATATCTAATTGCTCTTGCAAAATAATTTGTCACTATAATGCCCATGTTCCTCATTCTTGTGAAGATTTCACTCACTGTATTCTTGTTTTAAGGCATGCCATGTGCCAGTGATAGGGAAAAGTTTTCTGTTCAAATATTTTTCAAATCCAGTTCTCCATTTATCTTTGTGCATCTGCAGATTGATAAATACTTCAAGCAGGATTTCAGCGCTTGTGCTTAGGTAATTATGCTCTTACTGAAGTCAGTGGGAATTTTATTATTGCCTTCCATGTTAGTAGCCTGTTACTGCTTTTCAGTTTTCTCTTATTTATCTGGTAGCTATTTTAGTGCATTTTAATATCAGGCAGTCTGAATAATTCCCTGAATACAGGAATTGTATAAATAGTTAGAAATAATCCTGTGTTCTAGAAATAAAAATAAGTCAGAAGATTCACTGCAACAAGAATATGAATTTTAATGGCAGAAAGAAAAGGAGTTATTTTCTTAGTTAACGTGATAAAAGATAAACTACCTTTTATCTTTAGCCTATTTCTCCATAGTGCTGTCTTTTTGCCAGTGATATTTGACAGACCTGTGTCGGTGGTGGTAGAGGGTTTTATACATGTAAGTGTGTGCAGGTACAGGCACACTCCTAAAGCAGTCCAACTGTCTAAGGAAAAATTACCACCTGCTCCTTCTTACCTTTGTTAGTAAATGTCAACTAGTCTTTGATATCCAGCAGTGGTTTTTAAGTGACTTTGTTTGCGTATCCTGCTTCCAAAGGATTGGCAGGCAAGATGGATCTGAAATGTCTGTAGATAGTCCTTGCTAAATAGGAGGGAGGATAAACATGTTGTCAGACAAACAGAAGCATTAAGTGACTAGTTTGTTTAAAGATGGCTGTATGTGTTTATGGGAAGTCTATTAAAAGGAAACAAAGACTTCTCAAAGTCTAAAAGGATTGGAATTGTTAGGACGGACAGACTTAAGGTAGTTACTTGTTAGTGGAATAAATAGCTATCATTGACTCTTGAAAAACAATTTACATAAATTTGTTAAGGAATAAGAATTTTTTTCAGTCAGTGCTATTTTCAAAGCTTGAATGCAACTAAATAGCTTTATTGAAATATTTGGCAGCCTAAATATCTGCATAGGCCTTGCATAATTTTTAACTAATAAAACATTCTCTACCAAAACATTGCTTTTAAGTCACTCACCTATTTCACCTACTGTTTTCAGGCCATGTCAGGATACAGGAGAAAATGGACATTTTGTTGTAGATTCGTTAATGACCTTTATTCAAATTAACTAGGCCATGTCTGTGTCTCTGTTGCTATTCAGACTGACTTGGATATGTCAAAGCCACAAGGTAATCAGTTATGGGATTTCAGTTTTAAGCATATGTAAACTAAAAGAGATATATACTACTTTCTATTATCTTTATGAAAATGTTTGTTCAAATCTTTTGGTTTTGCGATTTTAAATGCAAGATGTGTAGAGCTTATCAACTGAAAAATACCAAAACTCTTTATCCTATTAGTTGTAATTAGATATCATTTGCAATGTTGTTTTGTAGTATAATTAGGACCAAGTTGTGGTATAATTTGTGGCTTGATTTGTGTTAGCTTGCTACACGAGCAAGAATATTGTCTGTTCCTACTGCATTAGGTACCATTTCTCTGTCTGTGCAGGAAAGATTCTGAAAAATTTCATTGCCTCATAGGTGGCTTTCATCGTTATCATATCACATGCAGATCAGGGTGATGTGGTAAATGACAAAACAGGAGAATATATCTCTGCCTTTTCACAGTTGCTTTGGGTCATGTGAAAGATAGAAGTTAACATCTGCAGAGAAGTTTAACTTCTTGGATGAGAAGGTTGTTTCTTCAGTTTGTTTATGTCTCTGTCTTAAAGTCTCTATTGCAGGAAAGTTATCAAATCACAGATTCCTCAACTGTACTACACATAATAAAAGTAAATTAATGAATTGACTTTCACTTCTACTTATACAAAATTCAGTTCCTTTTATCCCCATCCAAAACTATGTTCATTCAATTTGTAATATTGAGATTTTATTTTTTGAGGTACCTCAAGGAGGTATATAATATATATATATTATATATATAGGAATATATATAACATTCAAATGTTCATTCATTTGTAATATTTGCCATTTTCAGTTTTGGAGCTGGTAGTGAATTCCTTCAATGGAAATTTGCAGTGGGCAATAGTTTGATGTTCTGTTGGCTGGTACTAGCGTTCTTTTCTCTTGAAGAGTTCCCAAGATGAACGAAGCCTTTCTAAAACAAAGCTGGGAATCAAGTGTTATTAAATGGCTTGAGATTGTTTGAGTTTTGATGCCTTCCAAATTTGCCTTTGCTAACTTTGAAATTGGATCTGGCATTGTCTCTAATTCACCAACATGGATGTCAATGGTCCTACTGGGTGAAATTTTCTTTATGTGAGGTGGTGGTTGTGGATTCCTTTATCATGTGTTGACCCGTGTCACCATGGTTGACAATTAGTGGCCTGCTACTTCCACACACATTTCTCAAGTCTATCCTTGTTAATACTTGGTCTCCTTTACCACAGCATTTCAGAGTGGAGATCATAGTGACATGTGGAGATCATTGTGACTTCCTGTATCTGGACAGTAACCTTCCCATGTGGAATGTGGAAAAGGCTTGTTTCAGCTACTAAGGTTTTTGCAATACTTAGAAATTTAGGTAAAATGTATCATGTTAGACACTTAACCATCTCTGTCCTCTTCAAAATTTCTGTGCCATTTCTTGCCTTTTAAATGAATGAACAATGAATGCTGCATTGATCTGTGAAAGTGGAAAGACTTATGGGTCAACTATGTGTAAATTAGTGATTTTTTTTAATAGAGCTTTTTTTGGAGAAGTTGAAGACATCACTGAGAAGGTGTTTAAGGAAAGGGATGTTGATGTTATGATTTGCTCTGCTTAAGAAAAAACATTGGTAATGATTATTAGATAATAGATATTTCAGATTCTGGAAAAAATTACTGGGTTTGGTGGGGATATAATATACTTTATTAAGTTGTTTAGAATATGGTTCTAATGACTAATTGTAATGGTATAATTATTGTAGTGAACTTTTGCGCTTTATATGGCTGTGTTTGCTGTATTTGATGATATCTTTAACAGTTGGTGTTTAGAGAACTGAAGGGCTTTCATGTGAATGACAAAGTGGCAAAGCTTTTAAATTATGTATAAATGCCTCATTTGCTGTAGAGAACTGAACTCTAGCTGTTCAGTTCAGGCAGGTTTTTTGTGTGCCATTACTGGCACATAAAGGTGTCTTGCTTAGGAGTGACAAATGACAGGTATCTTAATAAATACATAAATCTTGTGTTGCGATACAGTTTTTGAAAGCCATGCTCTAAATTGCTAATAACGGTTTTGTTTTACTTGAAATTTTCTTTTTCTTTAGCTTACGGTGGTATCAACATCCCACTGAAGAAGAACTGCGGATTCTTGCAGGGAAGCAAAGAGGGAAAAGTAAAAAAGATAGGTAAATACTTGTTTTAAGCTTGTCTTCCCCCACCTTTTGGGTTTTTTTCAGCATGATATGGCTCATCTAGTAACTTTTCCAGCCTACTTTTGTTTTAGCATGAATTAAAAACTACTAGTTTCAAATGACTGCCCTGCTTCCATTAGTTGTCACAGTTCTTTATCAAAATATGTTTTTTCGGTTTAACAGTTGGACATTCCTAAATTGTTCAGAACTGGTTAATTTCCATCCACAAAATGGTCTGTGAAATGCTAATTATATGGCAAGCTTTTTAGTGAATGTATGTGTTTAGATAAAAACTGTGGATTGCTTGTGGCAATCTTAGGATTGTAGCTTTTCATCTTGAAGTGAGAGAAGAAAGATTTGGGTACATTAGTTCAACATAGGATTACTATAAGCCACCGCTCTTAACACAACTGTGAAAAAGGTAAATGGGCTTCTAGGATGTGTTTTATGAAATGTTTACTGTGAAGAGTGATAGAAATACTAATCCTCTTGGACAAAACACCAACATAGATCTTTATCTGGATTACTATGTGCATTTCTGATCACTTGTGTTCAAGAAAAATTAGTTTTGTATATGAACTGGTGAAGAGAACTGCTAGGATCATCCAGGAAACAAAGTCTGTCTTACTCAAGGGGGCTAAAAGATCTGGGCTTGCTGAATCTGTCAAAAGACAACTGAGGGCATGGAATAGTTGTTCAGCAGCTTAAGCTGGAAATAGATTTCCAGTATTCAGACATGAGGTTCTAAACAGCCATACTATAAGTACAGCTGTATCAAGAACTGAGACATCTTGAGGTGCTGGAGCTGGCCGTGTTGATGAAATATGTTTAAACTGGCTTTGTTTTGAACCAAACAACCCACTCTGGTTTTCTTTTTGGCAGGACAGGAGGTTTATTCTAGTTCTGTTTCTTTCATCCCAGTATGAACTCTTATAAATCTTAAGACTTTAATTAATCTCTGCACTGCTCATATAATCTGTTAATTGTAATTTAATTTTTATTCTTGAAAGTTTCTTAGCTCTTAAGTGGCATGGTTAGCAATCATGGTTAGCCTCATTTAGTTTGGAAAAGACCTCTGAGATCAACCTTTGATCACATGTCAGTTGTGGCTCTAAGGGCCATATCTCATAATTTCTTGAAAACCTCCAGGGATGATGACTCCACCACATACTGCCCAAGAAGGGCAGCCCATTCCAATTCCATGACAAAATTCCTCTTGAGTTCCATCCTGAGCCTCCCCTGGCACAGCTGGAAGCTAGGTCCTCTTACCCTGTTAGTAGTTAACCTTGAGAAGAGCCCATCCCCCACTCAGTTATCACCTTCCCTCAGGCAGTTCTAGAGAACAAGAATGTTCCCTGTGAGCCTCCTTTTCTCCAGGCTGAGTGCCCCCAGCTCCTTCAGCTTTTCCTCATCTAATTTGTACTCTAGACCCTTCCCTAGTTCCATGGCCATGGACTTGCTTGAGCACCTCAATGTCTTTGTGGTTGTGAAGGGCCCAAAACTGAACACAGGATTCTAGATCTGACTACAGAGTACAGTCACAGCCCTGGTCCTGCTGCCCACATTATGTCTGACACAAGCCAGGATGTCCTTTGTCTTCTTGGCCCTCTAGGCCTGTGCTGGGTTATGTTCAGTCGCTATTAACCAGCAGCCCCAGATCCTCTTCTGCTGGGCATCTCTCAGGGACTCTGTCCCATTCTGTAGCATGGCATAGGGGTGTTGTGACTCAAGTGTAGGACCCAGCACTTGGACTTGTTGAACCTCATGCCATTGGTGTCAGCCCATTGATCCACCCTATTCACATCCCTCCCCAGAGTCTTCCTGCCCTTCAGGAGATCAACATTCCCATCTGACTTAGTTTTGGAAATTTACTGAGGGTGTCCTCTATCCCCTTGTCTGAATGATCTATAAAGATCTTGAACAGGATGGGGCCCAGTACTGTGCCTTGTGGAACACTATTAGTGACCAGCTGCCAGCTGGATGCAGCATCATTTACCATTGTTCTCTGGGTTAAGTTGTTCCTTGTAAAATACTAAACATTACTATTTTTGCAGCATTCCTTAAAATTAAGAATCTCTTTTTATCTTAACAATTTTCTTGATAAAAATGAGGCAGTATAATTGTGAATAAGAGCATAATTTATAATTATCCATGTAACCAGTGATATTTATTCATATGTGAAATAACTTCAATTATGTAATTATAAGTTTAAGTTCACCCATAGGGGCCTTAAACTGAAAAACACAATTGCACTGCCACATAATAATTTTGCCTTTGCTCTTACTGCCTTTCCTCAGCCTTGCCAGACCTTTGCAATAGGAGTAGTAGTGGTTGTACCAGGGTTAATGTTAATCAAAGGAGAATGTAAAACTTCAAAGAAACTAAAGCAGTAATGTGGAGGCTTAAATTATGTTTGCTGTGCTTGTTTAACAGCTGAATTAATAATAAATCACTTCTTAATGAATGAATGTCCTCTGTGTCCTTGAAAGAAGTGACTCTGGTTTGTGAAGAACCATAGTTAAGTGGGAATTGTTCCTGTTGAGTTGGTTTGGATTTACTGATTTAGGTTGCACAAAATGGAATGTACATGTTATGACTCATCCCAGCAAGGAGATGTGAAATAGATAGTGTGGGAGAAATAAGGATGCATCTGTTTGATACTCCCCATGATAAAGAATACTTTGCAAGATGAAGAATCTGCTTTGTCAAGACCATAGTCTTGCAAAGTGTTATACTTGCTCCTTAACTAATTTAAAGAGAAATGATTAAAGGAGATACAAGGAGCTTGTTTGAAAATTTGCCTTAGAAATAGCTGTAGTGTGAAATTTTAGTTAATTTTATTCAGTGCATGTTACCTTTCAGTGTATTATATTGTAGGCTTTAGGAACACAGGAATATTAGTCAGGTTTCCTGCTTCTGCATAGTTTGTATTATATGAAATTTTTAGGCTAATAAAAAGGTCCATAGCTACTTTGAATTACTTTGAACTACAGCATTCAATGGTCCTGTGTATGTGCCATCTGTGCCTCTTGGATTGTGGGGCCCTGGGATAATTAAAGTGTAGGAACACCAAGTTTTGTTGATCTGAAATGGCTTCAGTGGTAAAAATGCTTATCTGTACTCCTGGATACATGCAGTAGGAAAATAATCAAGAGTACAGCTGTGGGCATGGAGGTACACAGGAGCTTGCAGGTAGTCTAGTCCTTGGACAGTGTTTGGTACTTCTTGTGTAGATTCGCACATTTTTTGAGTAATGCTTTTGATTCCTACCTATAGTTTGTTCATTAAAATTCTTGTGCTTCTGGTTACACTAAGCATTAATAAAACCTGAAAAATTTTATTAATGCTTTCTGCTTGCATTTTCCTCTCACATATAAACTACGGTGAAAGCATTCCTGAAAATTAAGTTCCGTGATTGATTTGATTTCCTTTTAATGCTTATATCACAATAATTTGTTTTCCTATGGAAAATCTACCTCTCCTTTTCTAATTTCAGAGTTGGTATTCTAAAATGTGGCTGTTTATTGTTTTTGTATAGCCTTTTAGAGGTTTTAAGTTTTAGGTATGATTTTTAATCTAACAAAACATCTTCTGATCTCCTTTAATTATTGTTTTTTTTTTAATAGTATGAGAAGAAAGTTTTACATTAGTTACGAATGCAGACCAAATACTTTTACTTTGTTCATGTTCTTTTAAGAGTGTGCTGGGGTTTTTAATTTGAAGTCTTCTAGTGTAACTTAATTTCAGGGAAATGAAAATAATGATATTGGTATAGTTTGAGAGCTCCAGATAAAAAGCACCTTTTGTTCTAGATACACATCTTTTTAGATTAGAAAGACACCTTAAATTTCCTTCACTTGATGGCTAGTAGGTTAGACCTTTCAAGGATCTAGGTTAGTTTAGCTCATGTGATATACCTGCTTGTTGTGACAAGGACTAATGGAAGGTTTTTTGGTTTTTTTTTTTTTTTTTTTTTTTTTTTTTTTTTTTTTTTTTTTTTTTTTTTTTTTTTTTTTTTTTTTTTTTTTTTTTTTACTTTGGGAACACTGTGTAGCTCTGAATAGAGGAAAATCAGTGGTCTGAAATAGATACTGTCCCCTGGATCTCGACCACATACATGCTCAAATTGAAGCATCTGGAAGCCATTTAAATCAATACCACAGTATTATGTCAGAGTCTGTCAAGTTATAGCTAGAAGCCATTGACATACCTTGTTGTTTTCAAAGATTTGAACTTTAAGTACTACTTTTAGTTAGACACATAGAAATATTTGTATTTGGGAAGAAAAATCTGCATTTTTATAAAATTTGAAATGTCATTCTGTATTGAAAAAAATTATTTTGTCATACCCATGCTTGTACTCTTTATTTATTTTACAGAAAATATAATGGTCATATTGAAAACAAACCCTTAACCATTCCAAAAGATATTGATCTTCATCTGGAAACAAAATCTGTAACTGAAAGGGACACTATTGGTAAGAGTATACAAACAATAATACATTATTTCCAATATATCCTGATTCTTTCTATCAAGTGTTTATTTGTAATTAATGCTGAAATATCTTTTTTGTAGACAATGACTTAATAGAAGCAAAACTGGTCATTAATGAGAAAGCAGGTAGTAGGGCTATGTCTCTTTTTGTGTTCTGAGTGACATTTAATAGCTGTGTTGTGGAAAAGGACGAGTAGATGAAATCCAGCATAAAGCACACTATTGTATCAGGTGTCCTTAGCAATATGAGACAACACTGAAAGAATTTCGTATTTGTCTATTCAAAATGGAGTTTTTAGCTTTGTACAAGAAAATAACAATTGGCAGATGTCAAGTCATACTTTCTGCTCATCTAAAATAGGGTATGTGCTGTAGCTTTGGAACCTATGCCCTTTCAGCCATACATCTCAAGCATTCAGGTAAAATGCTTAAAAATGGCAAGTGACAGTATAGAAATATGCAGAATTAAGTGTTTTGGAAGATACTATTAATTTTTAGATGGTTATTTTTTATTATTAAATCATAATCAGTCATTCTGTGACAGAAAGGTCATATATGAGTATGTACATGATACGTATTTTCTTTCTACCTACATTTCTATATTTATGTGTACTAGGGATGCATATAGAAAGAAAGGATGTATATTCCTATGGAGGAGACTTCTCAGCTTGAATTCTAGGAGACAGCATTTCTGTAACAGAAATGAATTTTTTGATGTAAATAAACAAAGCACTCACAAGTTTCCATTAGCATTACTTTCTTGAAATTATGTCATATAATTGTCTACCTGAGTGATACAAGATAGGATTTGACTGTATTTGAAAAGTAATATATACAATTTGTTTGTAAATCTAACCAGATTGTTATTTCAAAATAAGTGTAGGACTTGGAAATACTTAAGTTTGCCCAATTTCATATCTTTGCCAACAGGTAGCTGTAGTCAAGTCAATTATGTTCAGTAATATTTTCTCACTTTCAGATTCTGTACATGTAGGGAAGGTGTTTGGGGGAGACAATTTGTGTTCTCACAAATTGTTCTTTGCAGTTTCCAATGATTATGGGAACTCTCTCCATAACATCCAGCCTGTATACAACACAGTATGATACCCAGAATTTTTACAGTGAAGTTTACACAACGATTAATGCTTTATAGGATGTAGTAACAAAATCTCAATGGGCAGACCATCAGTATCTTAGATGGTGGGGTTTGTAAAATAAAAACTGTTTATTTGTAGTATAACAAATGAGATCTCAGTGAGATCTCAATCTTTAACAAAGGGTCAAAACAAGCCCTCTTACCTGGAATTGCAGCCAGACTCAACTGGAAAACTGTTTACTCTCTGTGTTGTGAAATCTAAATTAAGTATGCTTTTTGGATTTAGGATGTTAATGTATAAAAGCTGAGGTGATGAAATAGTAAAACCTCATAGCCTTATAAATTTGAGTAGTTATTAAGTATTGTATAACAGAAGCAAATGAAGTTCACATTGTTGAGTAACTTTTTCATTGTTGGATTTCACTTGGTTGATCTTGGTCTACCTAAATTACACTTTAATACACTTAATACATAATTGAAAACCTTTTTTACTTGCTGCTCCATTCTATATATATTAGTAGCTGCCTTAAAACATACATCTAACATTTACAAACTTATATTTTTCAGCATTGCATTACTTTCCAGAATATCAGTGGTTGGTGGATTTCACTGTTGCAGCTACAGTTGTGTATGTGGTGACAGAAGCTTATTACAGCATTGTGAAGCCCTCACAAGAAATGAATATCAGCATAGTATGGTGTCTACTTGTCTTGGCTTTTGCAGTGTATCCTTTTCTGTTTTGTGGAATCCCCCTCTATCTGTTTCAAATAGTTTACATCATTCTGCAATTCATATAAATCTTCATGCCACTGATGGGTGGGATACAAAAATATTTGGCATTTGGAAAAAGGATCCTGTAAGCTAATGCCATTGTTGAATAATGTATATGCTATATATGCTCTATACCAGCAAATGCTTGTATCATTAGCTTGCTAATATTAATACCAGACCATTTAGGAGAAAAATATTTGTATGCAAATATAGTTAGTGCTTATCTTTAGTATGCAGTGGTTCTAAACTAGCTTGATTTTGCTCAGATTGGCAATCAGAAATAGTTATGTGTACAAAAAGTACAGTTTTTGAAGAAGTTCGGAAATTTAGTGTCCTCTTTTTTCAATATGTTTAATCTGGTGCTTCCTGATCAGAATAGCACAGTGATGTGTATACAAGTTTATAGCAAAAATACATGAGTGAATTCATAATTTTAAAATACATTCAAGACATTCTTACAGAAAATAAGGTATGTAGACAATTATAGGAACTGAGCTCTGTGAAAAGCTAAACTCACCTTTGAAACTGAGGGAAACAGAAGTGGAGTATTTAGGATACAGGCATTATCAAATCATAAAATGTTTGTTTTGTTATGGAGAAGGCAGTTAATTTTTTAATTTTTTTTTTAACTGGAGAAGGCAGTATCAGATATAGATGCTTACATGGTAATTAACCACATATGAATCCAGACACACTCTTTAGGGAGGAAAGTTTAAAGATATGATTGGAGATAAAGCAGTGGAATTGAATAAAGGCTTTTAAGAGAGCAAATTATAGATATGTGAACTGGAAAGTGAATTGCTACAGCTCTTTTGCTCCTTCAGCAGCTGAGAACAAAGTGCTAAGTTACTCTTGAATATTCAAAATTTCCTCTATATAAATGCTAGCTTTAGAGATTTTTAATGTGTTCTAGTTTGTTCAGCTGGTTTGTACTATCAGCAGTAGCTAGTGGTGTTACATAAAACCTTGAACTCTAATGTTTGGTTACATTTGCCTAAGAGTTCTGAATATACATCATACTTGCCTGTCCTTGTCCTCCACACAATTATCAAAATGTGTGCTGCCTTTTCTAAGTAGACTGAATCATAAATCATAGAATTTCTCCAGAATGTTTTCCTTGTAATGTATAAAAACTTGCTAGAAGAGGAAAGTCAACTCACATTTGGAAAAAAGAATGTCAGTAGCATGCTTCCAGATCAGGTATTTCCGCTTAGACAAGTCAGTGAACAGTTCCATGGTCCAAAAGGTAATTTTTCTAGTCTACTGTGAGAAGAAAATCACTGTCTGGCTCTTGGGCACCTTTTAATTGTATTATAGCTATAGTATAGGTAATACATAATTGTTACTGCACGTCCTTTGTTTTACTATTTTTGGTGTGAGGTTGGGAATTTTAGTTTAGTCTTTGCAGAAGGAAGGCGAAAAGAGGTGCCTACTGTTTCAAAAATCAGAAGCCAACACCTTTCACTCCGATTTTTAAGGATGAGGGAGAATTTAATAGAAGTAATGGAAAAAAAATCTTCTTGTACAAAAGCCACAATGTACTCTTAGATTTATTGGTGACAATGCCCTGTTTGCTTCATCTCTTGTATCTCAGTAGTAGCCAATTTAAACAACACTATGGTAATTGCAATTCTAGGTGAAACAGAGCTGTGAATTCTATATTGTAGGAAAATCCACTGCAGTAACACTTTCTTATCATGGTTTTGTATACTGCTCTATTACTGCTTTCATTTGGTCATCAATTCAAATGATCAAACATTCAAAAATATTTAAGTTGCCTGTCAGTTCAAGATTTTTGTTTCAGTAGTGTGAATGTGCAATTAGCTGTTAGTATGTGCTTATTAGCTGTATGAGGAGTTAGTAGCAATGTAGAAGGATGCAGTACCAGGAAGCACATTCTAAACCTTATATTAGCCTTAACATCTCCATAATTGTGATAACATAACTTATTCAAGGCATTACAACTTTTTGTGTGAAGGAGGTACAATACAGAGGGTATTGGTAACAATTCCTGTGGTCACTGGGACCTAGTTAGATGAGATTTCAGGAGGGATTCATTCCTGTGTTGTGACGTCAGGCTTTTGGGATGCAGAGAATACTTAAAACTTATTCAACTACTCACTAACTCAATATGTCAAGACCAGAAATAATTCTGTGATGATGGAAGATTCAGAAGAATTTGGTTGCCTACGTATTTTTGACAAAAAGCAGTCAACATGATATGTTGAAGTTAAATATAGAGCATTTTTGTGTTTTGTTGACAAGTGTTTCTTCTGTTTCTACTGTTTCATGCTAGTGTGTTGAAAGGTGAAAAGTTGTACTAAGGATACCAAGCAAGTTTACAGATGATGAAAACTGGGAGGAGCTGTTGACTCCCTTGAAGGCAGGATGGTCCTGCAGAGCAACCTCAGAAAATTAAAACCCAAAGAGATGTGGGCAATCACCAACTATTCTATGTTCATCAAGAGAAAAATGCTGGATTCTGCACCTGGGATGGGGCAACCCTGGCTGTATGGGCAGGCCAGGGAAGAAGAGTATAGGAAGTAGTGCCATGGAAAAGGACCTGGTGCTGCTTGTTGACAGAAAGTTGAGTATGAGTCAGCAGTGCCCTGGCAGCCAGGGTGGCAAACTGACCCAGCATGGCCAGCCAGGCAAGGCACTAAGACATTCAGCTATTAGAGTGTCTAAATAAGCCAAAAGGATGATAAAGGAGGGGAAGCTGTATAAGGAGTGGCTGAGGTCACTCAGTCTGTTCAGCTTGGAGGAGACTGAGGGGAGACCTCACTGCAGTCTACAGCTTCCTTGTGAGGGAGGAGGGGCAGACACTGATCTCTTCTCTGTGGTGCCCAGTGACAGGACTCGAATAAATGGCCTGAGGTTTAGATTGAATATTAGGAAATATTTTCACATGGAGGGTGGTTGGTCACTGGAACAGGCTCCCTAGGTGCTTACAGCACCAAGCCTGACAGAGTTTAAGAAGCATTTGGACAGTGGTGTCAGGCACATGGCAAGATTCTTGAGGATGGTGCTGTGTAGGCCCAGGAGTTGTATGATCCTATGGGTCCCATCCAACTCGGAATGTTCTCTGCTTCTGTGAATTCAGAGTTTTCATGTGTTTTAGTAGGAACAGAAGATGGATCTTTCTCACTTCAATGTATGGACTATAAAATTCAAGAATTCCATAATCGCAGCAGTTTAAAAAATAAAATAATTTCTGTAAAAGGTATACCATTAATTCTACAATTCCTGCAACTATATACAATATGCAAAGTATACTATTCTATAATGCCTCTTGTGGCCAGAAAAATGTGAATGGAACTGGGGGACTGGTGCAGGCATTCTATTAACTTAGCACTAAATACTGCCAAATTATTCTTTCAATAGATCCTGAATATTAGGTCTTGCAGTGGAAGGAAGTGATGAAGCAAGTCATAATTCTTCAATCTTCTCCAACCCAAAAATAGAAGCAGTGGTGATTATGTAACTTACAGAGGGTTTTGGTTATGTATGGTTTGCATAATCATGGGTCTATTTATTGAGTTCTGAATCTGCACTATAATTGTAATTTATTGTTAGTGTGCTTTCTTTTTCCTCCTTGAATTTTCCAAATCCTTCATGCACAATCTATATTTGAAGTCATGAAGTATCTAGGGGGTCATAAATCTGATGATAGATTATATTGGATTTGTTGATCACAAACTTATTAAGTCCTTTGTATAACTTCAAGATGTTTTTAATTTGTGATTAATGTCCCTATCTGTAAAAAGAGCCTTGGCTTAAGCATTTGTTATTAGAGAAACAAAGTCCAGAACACAGTCTGTATGATCTCTTATGTACTTCTTGAGATGAGTTAAGTCTTCCTTTTGATGTATCAGTTCTTTCCGTAAAATATATAGGGGTCTGAAAGTAATTGCTATATGAGTTTAGAATTACTAGATGTCTTTAGACCACATTGTGTATATTAGAATCTCTCTGCATATCTGTGAAATTCAGCAGTGTATGTGTTAAATGTGTGCTGCCTGTGGAAGCATAATTTTTTGAGAGATTGTTCAAATGTTTTACTGATTAGATATCTCCAAAATTTTTTCATGTACTCTGCATAATAAAATTCTTTCAATATTAGAAATAGGGAAACACAACTGCATTATTGCATAGTGGAGGAAAAAAGTGGTACAGGTTACACTTAAAATATTTTTTTCCTTTTTGTCTGTATTTTTTTCAAATCAGGTAATACCTGGAGTTATCTCCAAATACTTTATTTAAATCTGGACTGGATATTGCCTACCATTTAAATCATAATGACCTGCAGTTCATAGTAATAAGAGTTGATTGTGTATCATGAAAAGTTATCCTAATCTGTTACACTTTAGAACTGATTTAGAAATGTGTAGAAAAAGAATACTTAATAAATATTTTTAAAACACCCTAATAACAGAGCAGGTGATGTCTTAAATGTTTGTCTTTGTGGCAGTGGGGCTAGATAAAAGGATTTGATATGTTATACAAGATCATGGAGGGGTTTTAAGACTGTCTTTGTTTTTCCAAGATGAACATGGGATAGATTTTTCTTTCCTAGACAGGACTCAGTGTGCTTTTGTCTTAACTGTCTTTGAGCTAAAAGTTTCAAATGTATGCATAGTTGAAGTGCTTGAGGAAATGGCTTAGTGGTGAACTTGCTGGTGTTTGGTTGATGGTTGGACTTGATCTTAAAAGTATTTTCTGAACGAAATTATTCTGTCTGAAAGAAGAGAAATACAAGTTCATCTTTTCATGTGTCTTCTTTCTTACTATAAGTTAGCCTAGATCAAAATTCTACTCCAGAGTATTCCTGGCTATGCATTATGTGATTATTATGCTTTAATGTGTTCTGTAATTTAACTTGAAATTGGCTGAACACATACTACCTTCAAAAGAAATAAGTGCACATCACAGAACAATCCTGTAGATGAACAAAATACAAGATTGTAATTCTTAGTTATAGTTATTTTACAAACTTAATTTTCCTTGACTTTTTTATTATGTAGTAAAGTACTGTTTTCATTGACTACCCACTATTTCAAAGTTGAGGATGGAGGTGAAAGATCAGTCTGTGTCACCTTTGGTTTTTTCTTCTTTGTGAAAGCAATGGCAATTCTCATTGTGACAGAAAACTATCTAGAGTTTGGATTGGAATCAGGTAACTCCTTTCCTTAGTGTTTGAAACAGCTGTAGTGATTGCATGATCTGAAAAAATTATTTCCAGAGTTTTTGAGAAAATCTGATTAAATGAATAGTGTAAGTGATATCCTTCTAAGAAAATTTTCTTTGGAATGAAGATTCTGAATAACATCCTGTACATTTTCCTGTTGTTCTCGTAACTAATTTTTCCCTAGCTTTTTTGTTTTGTTAATTGTATTTGCCTTCCAGTTACAGATTTAGCCCTTTCTGACTTTCATAGTGAAGTGTAGCTCCCTTACTGGAAAAAATTTTAAAAGTTATCTTTTTTCATCTTCCCAAAGTGTCCAAATATTACAGATGTTGTTAATCAAGTTTTACTGTATTGTGGCCAACTAATTAGCACAAGAAAGAGCTCTGCTAGACATATGAAAAATGCTTTAAAAGATTACTTGTTATCGAGTATTTTAGTGCATGAAAGGAATTCTTCATTTGTACTGTAAGTAAATAAATATATGTGTCCCTGCAGGATTCTCGAATTTCTCAGAAAGTGCTATGCAGTTCCTTGAAAAACAAGGTTTGGAATCGCAGTAAGTTTTTGGAAATACGCTTGTCTATTTATATGTGAATTTGTAACTTGTCTGTTTATGTGTGAATTTATGAACCATTTAGATTTTCTTAGCAAGCCTCTGTCCTGCGCGTTTTGCTTTTGTACATGGTTATAATCCCTACAACAGTTTAAAGAGTTTAATGAAAAGATCTGAAAGTAGCCACAAGCAACTGAAGTTGTATTAAAGTTTTCATTTTGACATGGAGATAATTTCTGACATTTTTATTATAGTTCAAAAATGTAGTTCAAAACTGTAAGCACTTTTTTCACAGTATTTCCCTTTAGCAAAGATTGTTTAAATTGAGAAGTATTTTTTTGTCATTCTTTTGGCATGCAAGAGGATGAATATGCAAAAGCTACAAGATGGAGTTAGTGTTAAATTTTGCATTGGCAATACATTATGTTGTTCAGTCCTGTTTTCAGGTTGTAGCTGTGTTCCTATCATGCAAAAAACATCTGCTTGCTACAGGACATCGAAGCCTCATTATAGACTGTTGAAGGAGCATGCCATAGCTTGTGATGTTACATAATTACACAAACACTGTCATAGGCAGCCTTTGTATATTGCAAAATGGGGTTTTGTTACATTTCCTTATACATTTATGCTAAAATTTAGGGACCATTTAATCACTGGGAGCACAGCATTGAATTTCTTGCTTGGTAGGTCTCAAGTATCATGCAGAAGACATGGCATATATTTATTCTTGAGGAACAGAAGTTTCCTCAAACTAGATTACTGTAATTTATGAATAAATTCATGGGAAACCATTAACTGAATCCCATGTGTTTCTTAGCCTTTCTTTAATCTGCTTTTCTAAGCTATTGCAAAGTCACTACCTTCTGTATTCATTTTCGTGTTAAGTTTTCGTGTTAAGCTATTGCAGTGCTTTGCCTTTTTTAGCAGCACTTGAGTTAATGATGGTGTCTCTTGATAGTTTAGGTGACACAGGTTAAGAAAGAATCTGAAACTCATTTGAATAACTAGATTTGGTTTTGTTCTGCTTTGATCTGTTAGTTACATTTCACTGTAACTGTGATATTTTTGTTAGTTGTTTGAGGGTTTTGTTTTGTTCTCTTTTTTTTTTTTTTTTTTAAACCTGCATCTGTTAATTATGTTATTAATTCTGTGATTTGTTTGATGCTGGATACTTTTTCTGTAACTTTTCTTAGGTACAATACTAACCACTTGGACCACATGTGCATTTCAGATAAATCTTTGAAAAGCTGCAGCAGTAACAGTTTGATAGATATTTTTTAATGGATAATGGTAGAATAAAGTATCCATTTCGTCTTTGAGCAGTTAAACTTATGAGACATCTGTTCCTCTTAAAAACACAATCCTTAAATTCATTCTATATTAGCTGTTATATAATTTGTTGCTAATTACAATATGAAATTACTCTTTTTTTTTCTTCTCTACTAACAAATTAACATCTCACAGTCAGTAGTTTAGGTTTTCTGTTTTTCTATGAAATAAATAGATGACTTTGTTTGGTTTTGAAAGTATTTTTTGAAATTTTAATTTCTGATTGGTTTTTAATAATGCTAGTATTTTGGATGAAGCCTATAGAATACTGTTGGCTTCTTTTATTAAATGTTAGATAATGTTGGGTTGAAAGATATTTTCTGATATTCCCTGCTCCCCCAACTTACTCCCCAAGAAAATGCTTATTTCCTTTCTTTTCTTTTAGGGGTCCTGTGTCTAAACTAACCTTCAAATTGTTCCTGGCTGTTCTGTGTTCACTTATTGGTGCTTTTTTGACATTCCCTGGCTTGCGACTGGCTCAAATGCATCTGGATGCTCTGAATTTAGCAACAGAAAAAATAACACAGTAAGACAAATATATGCAAATAGGTGTATGCTACTCAGTCTTAAATCTTTTATGTCTAAAAATAAACTAAGAAAACTGTTCCATCAAGAAGGTAGTGACTTAAGACTTCTGTTGCTGCCTGCTTTTCATATCTTGAGCAGATTTGCCACCTGCCACTTTCTGCTCAACCTGTGCTCTGCCAGTCTCTTACACTCTTTGCCTTGTAAATTAGAGTCCCAATTAAAGGAGCTTTCCTTTCCTCCTGCAAAAGGTCCACCATGAATGTCTCTGTGTCAAACTTTCTTTCCCCCATCATGTCTTTCCAGAAGTTAAGATAACCTTTAGGAAGCACAAATATGACCATAGACTGTTTGTTGTTTTTTTTTTTTTTGCACCTACACTTACAGCTGGTCATTATTCCTTTAATAAATTTAGCATAGGATAAAATTAAAAAATGACCCAGAATATTTAATTAGGGTCATATGTTAATACCAATTTAAAGGAATATTTTAATTTTCAGCCATCTTTCCATTTGGTAGTAAAATGTTCTGTCCAATTTAACTATTTCTCTTGAGCATTCTCTGGTTGAGATGGTGAAACTCCAAGTGACAGATTCTCCAGCACAGGGCAGTGTAGGTACTCAGTCTGGTAAATTTCCTAAGAGAACACTATGTTTTCCAATTTTCGTTCAAACTGCATTTTTTTTTTCTTTCCCTTCAGGAATGCTCAGCTTAAAAATTAATCTGTTTGAAGTGAGTCCAACAGTCTTGGTAAATTTATAAGCAAGTACACTTGCACTCAGTGTAATTTTCTATGTAGCAGCCAGCTGCTGGATTGTTTTATCTGCTGTTACAGAAGTCTGTATGTAGTGTGTGACTGAGTCACTTCCTAATCTATTCTTTCCAGACATATAAACCACTTAGTTCTTAATTACTATGGCTCTCAATATTTTTTAATTCTTTTTGTCTTTTCTGTAAATATTCCAGCATCTTCCTTGATCAATAGACATGACATCCTAGGGAGAAATACAAACTCTTTGAAACAAAAATCCATTAATCAAGATGTAAAGGACAGTTAGTATCCACTGAAGTGTGGTTATGAAAATTAAAACTTCTCTAGCTTCTTTAGACAATATTGGAACTGGTTGTTGAAGATAACTTTCTTCAACACCACCAAGTTATTTTTGAAAGTCTGCCAATACTTTGACTATTCAACAGGAACAATGTGAAAATTGCATTAAATGGATTAAAACTTGATATGGTATCCATATAATTAGGTAAAGCCATTATAAAGAATATTTGTCAAGTGATAGGTTCTAATAATAAACCTGAAGAACATAACTTGTCCTTGTTGGTGCATTTTTGTCAATGTTATTGACTACACTTGTTTATCAGTGATGAGAGGGGGGGATTATAAATGCAGATGACTTGTCACTGATAGAAAGTTGGGTGCTAAAACTATGTCTGTCTCTGCAGTCAAATACATACTCAAAAAACCCCAACCAAAACAACTACAAAGAAAAAGCCCACCAGCTAAACAAAAACCAAAGAAAAAAACATAATCAAACCAAAGGCCCCCACATCCCAAAAAAGGCACAAATCTCCCTTAAAACCCAACAAAAGAACCAAAACTAAACAACCCAAAAAAGCCCAACGCAATATCTATTCCTTAATGGAATGGAACACTTAACTTGCAGAGAACACTGACCAAAAAATGCCCCAAAACTTAAAGGTTAATGATCAAGTACCACTTCATGAATATGTTCAAAATGATCAGTGTGATTCTTTTATGAGTGTAGGAAGTAAGTTCATTGGTTTTGGGTAAACAATAAAAATCATCTGGCGGTGCTTTCGGTTTTGAGAAATTATATGCTTTTTTTTCTTTGGCAGTATTATCCTTCCCTGCATATATTTGAAGTCTTCTTAGCAAAGCTGTACAATTTTCATACACATTTCCTCCTTTACCAGAGCCTGCATCAAGAGTATTTTGGCCCTCCTGCCTGTTTCATTAAAAAAAACCAAACAAACATACAAACAAAAAAAGAAACCAAAATAGAGATTCCCACACCCTTTGGCACATTCCAGTCCATCACTCCAGTCCATTAACTCAATAGGATCTCTTAAATAAGTAGAAGCTCAGGTAAAAGGCTTTCACAGTCTAATTAAATACTTTGGACTGATCCTTGGTGCAGGTTCATTCCCTAGCACCATTTAATAGCTAGCAGGGCTTATTTCTTCATCTGAAACCAAAGATTTAAATTGGTGTGTGATGACAGCTACTGTGATGTGCAAACATTTTAGTGGTTTTAGGAAGCTTGATAGTTTGCAATCAAGAAGGTCTTGTGTTCTTTCGAACAATTCTTGATTACATAATTTTTTCTATAGTGTAAAAGCACTGTAGTTGAAGGTGGAGACAAACCTGATTCTGTTAGTGAAGAAATACTGCACTAACAAGACAACCCAATCCCTGCAACTGTTCTCACTTCATTTTAGTAATGAAAAATGATTGGGAAAATGGATCTAGAAATAGAGAAGAAAATTTAGAAGTTTAGAAATAAAGACGGGTATTAATTTCAGGGAGAACTCCAAAAACTATCCCCTTTTTAAATTCTGCTGTTTTGTGCTCAAAGATTACTAAAGAGTACTACTTTTATTTTTGTTGTGCGGTTTGATGCAGTATAGTTTTTTTTGGTCTGAGTATCTTTAATTTAATAGAAGTACCAAGTTTAATTTAATCAAGGTTTCTAAATAAAATGCTTAATTAAACTGTGTCATCTGACCTCTGACGACTTTCTTCTGTTCTTTTTAAAGCCAAAATCCAGTGTGATTTCACAATTAAAAATTACTGTTTTCTTGAAATGTAAGCCATACCTATAAAATAGGGAAGAAATTTTCTTATTTATATTTCTCCCAACTATTTTAAAGTTAATAGTTCTCTTTTTGAATCTGTGTATACTTTCAACACTATGGTCATTGTTTTTGTTTACTAAGTTCCCTGTTTTTTTCTTTTTTTCAGAACATTGCTACATATAAACTTCTTGGCACCTTTATTTATGGTTCTACTCTGGGTAAAACCAATCACTAAGGACTACATTATGAGCCCACCTTTGGGCAAAGAGAGCATTCCTTTGTAAGATTTCCTTTAAAAGTTCTTTCTGGGTTATTGAGAATGAAACAATGTCTTAGAGCTCTTTGAAAGTTTAAGAAACATGAAAGACTTTAATAGCATCTTCTGTCAGAGGTATTGTGGAAGGTGCAGCTGAATTATAAGGAGCTTCTGTTATTTCAAAAGAATGAGTTGCAAAATATTGAGTGTTAAGGTGATGGTTCCCAAAAAACTGGTGTCTCTTGACATCTCCATGGCAGTAATGCATTGTTTTTTTGTAGGGGTGGAATACCACCTCACTACCTGCTGGAACCTTGTGTCTTGCATGTTGGTGTAGGAGAGAAGTGGTTTCAGTGAAAACAGTCAAGATATGTTGGTATGAGAACTAAGCTAGGAAGTTTGTCTTGATATTTACATACTGATTAAGTGGTATTAAATTGATAGGTAAAATATAAAAAGGGAAAGAGTTTCCAGGAAGAGTGGTATCTGAAATAATGTATATAGTTGATTGTCATTGTCACAGTCTTGCTAATTCAAAATAGACTTGAAACAAATATGAAGAGCTAATACATTTCTTGCTTTTTAGAGGTTAGATAAGCTTCTAAAGTGATCCTGTGACCATTGAGCTATTACATAGAACACAACATATATATATATTTTGTATATTTTCTGTACCTCAGTTCATCTTAAAATGAGGATTGAGCTCTTACTGGGTACCTCAGGCAACTGAAGTACCCATTTGCAATCTAGTACTATTTACTATCTAGTCCTGTGTGTCTGAAAACCTTTAAATATCAGAACAATCTTGGTTTTTATTGTCCTGCCTTCATTAGTCAGAATTTAGGCGTTTAAGAACTGCTCTTGTTTAGATACAAATTAATACTAATTTGCATCTATGCTGTAGGGCTACTGAGAAGTAGTAGGAAAGAGAAATAAAAGGCAAAGGTAAATATTACTTGCATGTGAACTTTATAACTGTAGTTTGTTTGTTAACTACTTTTGACAATTTCCCTCAAGATTACTTTACAGATGATCTAAAAAAATAACTGTAGCAGTAAATGGTCTTTGGAAAACAGCATTACCATTTTTTTATTATCCACAGAATGTCAGAAGATACATTTGATACCATCAGATTGTGGATTATAATCCTGTTGTGTGTTTTACGGTTGGCTATGATGCGTCATCATTTACAGGCCTATCTGAATTTAGCCCAGAAAAGTGTGGATCAGATGAAAAAGGAAGCTGGTAGAATAACTATGGTTGATTTACAAAAAATGGTAAGTATGGTGAGATTATGTATTTGTGTTATTTTGACTTGCAAATTATTTTTTGCAAATTATTTTTTATTTTATTGTCTTCTGTGGCAGCAGAGCTCAAATCTGAATGAAGGTTTCTAGACTATATTTCCTGTAAAAATAGCGTCATTACCGAGAAATTCTGTGAACCAAAATACAGAGAGATGTATCATCTGTGTTATGCAGATAGTTTGTTCTTGGTTATTTGGAAGTTGTTATAAAAGATCCATTCCAATGGGTGGTGATCTGTAACTACAACGTGGGAAAGAAAAAATTGCATTTTGATAGAAGGATAATATACTGCTACCAACTATGATTTTTAAATTGAGGGAAAGTTTATGATGAGGTGGTTGTATTTTGGAATAAAATGACAGATGTTTAATTCCATCAGACCACTTAGAAGTGCACCAGCCTAGTTAAAAAATTGCTTATCATATTGTGGACAAGGCAAAATTTCTGAGGATTCGTTTTTTTAAAGAAAAGTAGTAAAGCATACCTTGAACATATGTTGTGTGTTGTCTGCAAAATAAACTTAAATTACTAGTGTTTTATGATAGTGCTGTCTAATGATCCTGCTGAGTTGGGGTCTGTTGCAGGAGGAATATTTGAAGCAGGCCGTGAGACAAAGACTGCTCTTTTAGGATTGTCATTATTACATGTAGTTACACTAAGTGTCTGAAGGTCATAAGTGAGCTGTGCAGTACTTATTTACAAAGTGGCTAGGAATTTGCTTCAGAAAATAAATTAGGAAATACATGTAGTAGCAGCTGATTAGGATGGTACTGTGCCAGTTGCTGTAAATGTGCAATTTTTATACTAATTTTATTCCTATCTATAAAACACTAATGTCTTCTCCTTGTGGCATTTCTTATATCCATTTCTCTATTATCTTCATATATTCTCTTTAAGAAGGCCATTGCCACTAGATGTTGTCTTGTTTTGTTTTACTAATCATATCTTCTTTGCCATTTCTGGGAACTTCTGCCAGTGAATTATTTCCTGTCTGTCATGCTACATTGTTCATTCCTTTTTAGTTTGTTATTTTTGTCATATTTCATCAATTTTTTGACATTTTTTTTGTCTCATGCTTTTTCTTCTGTCCGTGTCTTACTACTTTTCTTTCTCATGTTAGTTCTTTGATGCATGCTCATTAAGAAGACCTTTGAGGCTTGAGAGGTATTCCCAAAACTGTCATGTCTACCTTAATAATTTTTGCCAGCCTGCATTCTGTTCTTTTATAAAACCCGGGTAGGCTTGTTTGCTATTGATTTTATCAGTTTTTGCCATCTTTGTTTGGTGTAATATTTTAGGTCGATAGCTTATAAGAATATGTAATGTTGCAATCTTGAGAAAAATGGAACCTATGGAAGAGCAGGGGGAGGGATATATCTGAATGGACTTTGATGAACCATAGTGTATTACTGAAATAAAGACCATTTAAATGCTGTTATTTATCTAATGAAAGCTCAGCTTATCTTTGTTTTTAAAATACAAGTGTTTTTCAGTTGGAATCTTAAAAACATCTCACTTTTGAAAAAGGACTGTAATACTAACCAAGCTTTCATTTACTTTTTGTGGGGCTTTGGACTGTAACTACTACTTCATTTTTGAAATAGGATTTAGTTTGTAAATAACTGGGGACTTGAAAAATTAAACATATACATTTATTTTTGTTCCTCATGTATTAAAAGAATCATTGAATGATGACATACAGTTTGCAGAAACAAATTTGATTCTGTTTTTTTTAAACAAAATTGATGCTTTTAATTATTTTCTTTCAGCCTTTCCTCACAGATTTGTAAGTGTCCTGAAACTAGAATTCATTATTGGGATTTCTTCTTTAGGTCTTTTGAAGACAATATGTCACATGCCAAGAGTTACTAGAAAGTTGTTAAAACAGTTCTAATGCATAAGTACTGGGGTATTTTAATAATTTGTTTTTTCTAGACATATTCATAAAGGTCTGCTTTGATCAACCAGGAATCATGAACTTATACTCTTTCATTTTTCTAGGTGGCTCGGGTATTCTATTATCTCTGTGTAATTGCACTGCAGTATGTTGCACCATTGGTGATGCTTCTTCACACAACTCTGCTCTTGAAAACACTAGGTAGGCAAAATTAGATCAACAGTATTTTATTCTGTTCTACACAGGGCTTTTTTATTTTCACCTCACTAAAGAGAATTAGAATTCATGAGTACTTACAATACAAAAATACTTTGTAGTTTCCTGTACTTCAGAACAGTCATATGTGGCTTTTAAGAAGTTATTTCTCTTGCTGCTTTTGATATCTTTCAATTACATGCTGATTTGTGTTATTTATTTCTGAGAAATTGTGTAATGCAACCAATTAAATGTTTACTTCAGTTGAAATATTTATCTTTCTAGAAGTATTTTAAAAGTGAACTGTATAAAGTATGATTGATTTATTTAATTTCTTGCACATCTCATAAATTAATTTTTTCAGCTTTTTTATCATTAGTAGGCTTTTAGAATAGAAATTGTGAGATAAGGGGTTTGTGTAGTTACTGGGAGATCCGAAGTAGCTCTAGATAGGGGTTTCTCTTCTTTATTTTCTCTTTTTTTTCTCTTTTCTCTCTTTTCTCTTTTCTCTTTTTCCTCTTTTCTCTTTTCTCTTTTCTCTTTTTTCT